TCTCTAAGAAAAGCACACTTGGTAATAATTATCAAAATCTAATCAACCACAGAGGTAGGCAAGAACTTTGAAAACAGCACAGCAAAGACCTGGCTGCTTTCCTTCTCATATCCTATATGTTGATGTCAAGCTAACAACTAGAACAACTTGCAGGGGTTATCAAGTGAATGAAACTTGGTAACTACAACTAGCATAAAACAATATGCTTTACAACTAGCATAAAACATAAAGCTTTACTTTAAACACACACACACATGCACACATATGGCACCTCCTGATGTCCTCCTACCCAACCCAGATCAGGCCCCGTGGTTTTATGCTCTCATGGCACACTTCACCTTTCCTCTATAGCATGTACCACAGTATGTAATAATATACTTATCTGAGGATTCTGATTAATGCCTTTCTTCCCCTCTAGACTTTAAATCCCATAAGGACAGGGACCATCTTAGCCCAGTGTCTGGTCCATGACAGATAATGAATGTGAAAGAATAATTCATTCTTTCACTCAACAAATATTTATTATGGGCAGGTGAGCACTGAGCTAGATTCTGCAGATGTGGCGCTGAATGAGAAAAACTAGTTCTGTCTTCTCTTGAAGCTGCTGTTCTAGCAGTCAAAATTACCAAACATATACAGACACACACACACACACACACACACACACACACATCATAAAAAGTAATCTAACAGACATGATTCAGTTGATCTGCAAGCAGGCATTATGTTTTTACATACAATAGGATCATTAAAAAAGACTTTTCTGATTAAAATAAACTGAGTAACACTTTAAATTCTTAAATGATAAGTTTATTGTTCCCTATAACAGTTGCAAAATAGAGGAGAAAAAACCTATAACCTTACTATCCAAATACAACTACTTTTGGCAATGAGTATATTTCTTTCCTGTTCTTTGAAGTAATCTTTCTTCAATATCACAGTGAACACAGGACATGCAATGTTCTCCGCTTTTTATATCAGACACTTAATCTTCCTTCATTCGTAATATAGAGATCAAGGAATATCACGAAATGGTCTCCTTCCAAAAGGGTAAAAGGTGTCTGGTAGCCATGGCTTCAAGTTAGTCAATCCTTTCTGCCCTCTTCAAGACCAACACACGTACCAAGTAAAGCAGGCCCCCAGCACCTCCCCTGCAATATTAATATCTGCCTTCATGTTTAAACAGGATGACTTTCAAATAGAGGAGTAATTGGCTCACACATGTCAATCATTCTTTTCTTGACATCTTTCTCTTTTCCATATTCCTGGTAAGATACAGCACCTCTGAGAGGATTTCTTCCATCTAGTCCTCAAGCTTTTCCTATTTGTTAAATATTAGAGAACTTCCTCCAGCTTCTTTGGAACAAAAATGGCAAGAAAATACTCAAGCTGGATTCTGAGAAAGAATCAATAATTAGGCAGCAGGAGGTGAAGAAATTGGTTGTTAGCTGCACAGGCTGAAATCTGAAACTGAAGACACTGCCTATCTTTCTCTGGAAATTATGGGTAGCAGGTGGTTCTGGGAGATCGGCAAAGCACATTACCCTAATGTTCATCAAGTTGGCAACAACAGTGGTTAGATATTTCCTGTAATAGTAAGCAGATGTTTATAGATACTAGTTAGATTATGAATGAACAGAAAAATAAAACATTTATCCTATTAAAAGCCAATAGAGAGTTGGGGTGCGGGTATCAAAAATAAAATAAGTGGGTCACCAAAGTGATTTTTAAGAACTGGCTGTGAGAGTATTCTGGCTCTAGGAAGTGGAAGCAAGACAAGACTTCACTAGCCTGGTTCTTCAACATTTCTAGCAAAACAGCACACAACATTAATTCTCCTTCCATAAAGATGAATGAAAACAGGCTTGCAGCGCATCACAGCCAGACTGTATTTAAGAAGAGGACGCTGAACAATGAAATTTGTGGGGTAAGTTACAGTAGGGGTACCTTGCCACAGAGTAGCGTCAATAGCTAATGCTAATGACAGGAAGGGGGGCCTATCAGGAAGGATGGTTCATGGTTGTTTTTACAAATCTGTGCTCCAACTTTAAGAAAAACAAATCCTTGTACCTTTAGCATAAGATTCCTTCAATGATAAAAGACAATAATAATTCAAAGTATTTTGACTTTACTTCTAAAATCAATGGTCCTAACAACTCCCAGTAAGTTTCCATGAACATGCAGGGTTCAGGTGATCATCTGACAATAGCTTTCTAAAACTCTAAACCAGTAGCACAATGCCAATCACTTTTAAATGACGTTACCAAGGTGATTAATTCTTGAGGCATTTGGAAGTATTTGCTGGCACACAGCCACTACAGACTAGCTCAAAAGCACCAGTCCTTTGGAATCCCAGCCCCAGAATTTAATCTTTCATCTTCAGAAAGAATGGTTCACTCCAAATGTTTGCTTTCTGTGTGACAAATCAAAAAAAACCTCTAGGACTGAGACATGTCTGAAACAAAAGGGTTTACTGAGCCTTTACAGATGCAGCCAGAAAAAGGACTAAGTCCCATGACAGGAAATTTCTGCTTCACCAGCATGGCCGGTTAACAGAAACAACTTACACACCAGACGCAAAGAACAAGGCATGTTTATGAGGGTTCTCAAGGAAAGAAAGTCCTCCAAATTCACACTGGCCATGGATAAGGAAGGTGGGCTAACACAGAGTGGGTAAAGTCCTGGCATACGTGGTTAGTCCATAAAGAAGGCTTGTGGATTGGTTGCTGATGATGGTCAGATACTGGTCATGTGTGACAGGGTCACTGGTCCTGAGGTCCTTCTAGATGAGTGTGGACATGACGTCATTCAGGAACATGGAGTTCTGGTTAGCCATGGCCCACAGTTCCTGACTGATGACCTTCCCTGGTATCTCTCCCTCATTCTCCGGCCCTTATGCCACTTAATACAGAACATTTCCGAATTTTTGCTTTGTCATGTGTACTGCTTTATCTCATAATAAAGGATTTGGGCCCAAATTTTCATATTAGTACATTTAATAAAATGGCATCATATTATACACACAAAACCAAGACAAACAGCTTGTGTACTTGCCAATGTCCAATATATCCTGCCTACAAAGGCCTATAAAATACTGACAAAAAAACAAAACCTTAGAGGACAAAAAAGCCTTCCTGCTGACTCACTCCTCACAGAGAAACATTTATTATTTCCTGGTTCCACTTCTACCGCTGCAATTTCTACTCATGAATTCGGGAAGGGGCTTAGGGAATGGGAGAGGCTGGGGTCAAAATCTATGAAAGACACACTGCTTCTAAGGGAACTGTAATGAGGTCTGCAGAAAAGTTATTGATCGTGCCCTTTAGATTCATTTCCAATATACACTATAGTCATGTTATTTCCCTATGAAAGTTCAGTGTATTCATCTAGGGACTTGCAGCAATAGGGCAAATAGCAAACCAGAATTTTGGAGTGTTCATTAGTAAGGGGACAAGAGTTCACAGAAATCCAGTCACTAGGCAAAGAAAGAAGAAAAGCAAAGTTCAGTTTAGAACCTTTCCCCAGCTTCTCAGGAACACAACATGAGTGATCAAAGAACACAGACATTGCAAAGGAACCAGAACAAATAAGCATGTGCATTCACACACAGGTATGCAGGTAACAGTACTCTGTGGTGCTCCTCTGCTGACCTCTAACCGCATAACCTCATCCAACACAAGCAACTCCTTAGGGACAGTGCTGGCATTCGAGGTCAGGTCCGCCTGACACCAAAGCCCAAGCTCATCACAACATGTGCTTTGAAATATTCTGTAGCAGGAGGGTGGGGCGGTGATTTCTCCACCCATTTCGCTTCTGAATGAAGTTGACAAGGGATTTAATTTTTGAAGAGTTTTAAAGCATAATTCAAATCAGTATTATTTAGATATACAAAAAATGTAAATAGAATACATTAATTTTTCCAAAAAATTTTAAGTCAGTCTGGGGAATTCCACACTTACTTACATAATTCTGTACTTAACTGATATAACTCTATAGCTTACTTAGCCATTATTATTTCTCCTTAAATTTGTTTAACTTCTTAGAAAAAACTGTTAAAGCCTTAAGTACAAACAGAATTTCCTTAACACGTCAACATGATTACGATCCCCTCTACACACTATCTGGCACCCCCCAGGAACTCCTGAACAACTGGAAGGACCTGCTCAACTTTGTGCTCTGCTCTCAGATGCAAATGTAGTTTCCATTGTGGCTCCCCACCAGCTCCCAGGCCCCCATGCCAAATTCCTGCCTGGTCCATGTCTGGTAGATGTGGAGGGTTGGGGGACAGAGGCAGAGAAGGGGAAGGAGAGATCAGAAACTTTTGTGGTGAATATTGGATTTTCCAGGAAAGCCTCAATTTCAAGTATCTTGTTCTGTCAGATGACATTAGTCTTTTAGGCCCTGAACTCTGGTTTGGCAGACATGATATCCCAGTGCATGGCAGTCAAGACAGAGTTAGGATCATAGTACAATTTCGATTTTCCCATTATGAAACAAGAATTAAGAAATCCAAATCCAAATCCTATTAGTTGTTTTAAGGAGATACAGTAATTCCTGAGACTGATTTGCCTATTAGCAAATACCGCCACACATTAGTAAAAGCACAGGACAGAGGAAAGACCATGAACTTACATTCAACTCCAAGACCAGACACCTCTGACCTTGAGCTAATCACTTCATCACTGAGCCCGTTTTCCTAACAGTAAGAAGTTCGTAGTGGTGTAGTGAGAACTAAACGAGGTAGGTTGCCTTGAATACTGCTTAGTACTCAGTTAATGTTCAGTAATTGCTACATCCTTTCATTTCAGTATTAACAGTATGTGTAAAACTTCTCAGCTACATCAAAAAACAGCTGAATTATGCTTATGCAAGCTGTTTTTACCCACGTGAGTTTGTATGGACTATAGAATCCCAAGTTCAGAAACAAAAATCAGCAGAAGATATTTATTTACACACCACAGTAAGCAGTTATCAAAAATGCAAACTGCGCCCCCAGCTACCTTGATTGGCTATCCACAGTGAGGTTCTCTCCCCTCTGGTAGCTGCTGTCTGCCACCTGGGTGGTAGACCTCTTCACAATTTGTTTAAGCTCCTGCTCCAAGCGTTCCTGGATCGCCGTCACCGTCTCTGGGATCTTCTTCAGTTTAGCGAGCCCCTTGATGAGGATGCCCATAAAAAGAGTGCTGTTTTCCTCTGGATCCAATTCCAAATCCTCCTTGATGTCCTGCAGGTTTATCTCCCTCACTGGAGAAGAAAAAATAGAAAAAATATATATATTCCATTACAAAAGTCACAAACAGAATAAGTCTAATAATTGGGATCACTGCTTTGATTACTTCCTTAAAGGAATCAGAGATGATTTTTCAGTTAAATTTTTAATTACATTATATTCACATAGTACCTAAGAATCACAAAATAATAGTCACATTCTTCAAATCATACCCATCAGTCAGTAATGAGAGATAAAAATGGTTCAGGACAAGTCAGCAAATCTCCATGGGAAGTTGTCCATAGACAACCATTTGCACAATGAATCAGTCAGCTCATGACATTTATTAAGAGTTCACTGCTTATGAAATGCCATACTTGGTGCTGCAGAATTCTAAAGAGCCAGACCATAGTCTCAAATTTTTACTTATTAGAAGAGGTAAGTAGCTTGATAAAGACATTATAAATACATGTATTAAGGGTAAATAAGGTAAAATTATAACAAAAGAGATTAAGTAAAATAAAGGAAAAACAATCTATACTAGTGAGACAAGACTTTGAGGGAAAGAGTAATAAAAAAGTAGTTCCTAAATATGAAACTACTATGTTTCTTTAAAACACATGTTGACAGCAATATCGTTGTCTACTGAAGACAGGTCTTGCTAAGCCATGGAAGTTTTCTGAGTAATAATTTTATAAGTCAAAAGTCTCTGCAAATCTTTAGATTATAGCTTTCACCCAAACCATCTGGCATGGGAATGGAAGAAGTGACCAAGAACAGTGGTTCTTAATGCCTGTGGACAGGAAGAGAAGGGGATGGGAAGTGGGATCTGAGGCTTCTGTCATATGGAAGAAGTGACCAAGAACAGTGGTTCTTAATGCCTGTGGACAGGAAGAGAAGGGGATGGGAAGTGGGATCTGAGGCTTCTGTCATCTGCTGAAAACTTCAGGCCTTGCCCTCAAACAAATCCACACATATGCAAACGTCTCATATGATTTCAAGGGCTTCACAAATACCAAAAAGAACCATGGGTTAAAAACCTCTGGCCTGAAAATAACTCTCTCATTTTATGAATGGCTGGACTGACACAAAAGCAAAAGTGAGCAGAAGCCTAAAGATGGACCCTAATGAAGTTTTCCCCATCCTCCCGTCTCCTCCACTCCTCGAAACAACTGGAAGGTTTCTAAATATGTGACATCCTGAAAGAATGTGTGTATTCTTCTTTAGTGGATTCAAGCTCAACCATACTACAAGCCCACTCCAAGTTGTTTGGCAACACTGGAATGTAAAAATCTATTTAGGAAAGAATGATAACAGCCCAGTTTATGGAGTAAGTAACCACTGAATAAATTCTCTATACTTTAGATGACATGTAGGCTATTCTTCTCAATCATTTTTTTTTGCTCCCAAATTATAAAATGCCCTTAAGAACCAAAGGCATTTAATAAAAAATGTGATATAATTAGTTACTAAAGCTTGCTCTTAAGTGAATAAGTCCTCTACAGATTTATCCATGTTTATCCATGCTGTTTTACTGAGACTCAGTAGACTCCCAAAATCTATGGTAAACTGAGAGTGGAACCAAGAAGATTCAAGCCCCTAAAGATGACATGACAATTCTGAAGGCAAATGAAGAAAGAAAAAAAAAAGTCATCAGTATTGCCAAATGTGACATTCTAAGAACAGACATTTCAGTTATTGGTCCTGTTTTATACATGAAGAACTAGAGACTGTAGGCCACAGAGTTACTCCATCCTGCAAAACAGCAAGAAAAGTTCTTAACAGCCAAGGAACCATCTAAATTCATCACGCTAAAGGGGAAAATGAAACAAAACTAAAAGCAAGGCTTCAGGCAGGGGAAAAAAATAGAAATTTAGCCGGGACAAATTGTCTTCACAAAAGAACACGTATGAACCACAAACAGGACCCAAGCAAAGGGCCACCTGAATGTCAACCACCTGCCACAAAAGAGTGATTGGTGAGGAGATACATGTAGTTTAAATCAATAAGCCCCTAGATTATGTGGCATATAACTACTATGATAGATAGCCTATTAAAAATAATAAGTAAGCAAGGTATGAATAATAAAATACCACAGCCTCAAACGGCATGTTTGTTTAGAACCTTATCTTTCTGTTGGTCCCCTGAAATCTCCTAGACATGAACACTAAACAGATTCAGTATTAATTAATTTATATTATTTATTTCATTTCCATCAATAGAAAATTAAAAGGAATTTAAAGAGAAGCAGAATCATTCTCTTGGATCTCTATTGCTCTAATATGTACACAATATGTAGATTTTAGAACACTGTACAATTAGAGACACTTTACTCCCTTTCCCCACTCTCTTATCTTTGTTTCTGTTTTTGCTCTAGAATCTTATCAAGTGAGGATTTATTGAATCTGGTTTAAAGACCCTCACTAACTGAAAGGATAGTGCTAAATATTCAAAGACTTCTATGTCCTTAACCAAGTATTTCTATTAAAATCCTATTGGCACCAATTGTTTCTTATTATGCACACAGAGAAAGAGAGGGAGGGAGAAAGATGGATATACAGGTATGTATGTGTAAGTAGACATAAATCGTGCCTGTGGTTCAGCATGGATTCAAAGAAGGAGCACTTAACTATGACACGTTGGGACTCATGAAAGGATTACCTAGATGATATCTAAAGTGCCTTCAAGCTCTACAATTCCAAGGTACTATTAATGAAGTTTAAGTCTATTCATCTCTGGTCTATAGTTAATTATATATACCTATATTATAGATAGTTGATCTGGTATTTTTAAATGGGCTAAGTGAATAATCCATTTATGCAGCTCAGTATCTTATAAAAGAAAACTGGTTTTTTTTTTTCCAATGAGTACAGAAAGCAACCTAGAGCAGTCCGTGGCTGTTGTTTTTTTCCCCCCACTATGTTTGGTAAGAAAAGATCAGTATCAGGTCATAGCTACACACACATCATCAAATTAAAGATAAGGACCTTAGTAATATATTTTAATATTTCATTGAATAAACTGTATTATTTCACTTATCATTTACATTTATACACATTAATTAAGGTATAAGAAATAATGGTAGTGTTTACTGAAGAAACTGCTAGATGTGATTGCTTACACTATGATGGTACCTAAAGTATGCAAAGTTCACATATATGACTCCAACCTACATAACTTAATTTACATGTTGTATTCATGAACAGTATCCCTATATAACAGGAGGGATATCTGCCACTGTTGAACAGAATTCAATATAAGAAAGAGCCTTAAAGAATTACCAAGCCTAATTAGACCAGTAAATTATCAAGAAAATTAGATATTCATAATACTGCCCTCATAGATGGGAACCTGACCTCAGAATACTGACAATATTTTCAAGTAGAAAATAGTAAGAAAGTTACCAAGTAAAAATAATTCAAAATGGCACTGTAAATTCATACTTGAGATATCCAATATGCTCAAAACACAATTTTACATAAAATATAAATTAAGAAATTAAAAAGAAACAGTCTGGCTCAATATTGAAAATAAGTATCTCTTATTGACAAGAAATGCAAACAATGAGTGGAATCAGAGCATGTATCCAATGAGCTCTAGGTAGACAGGCAGGTAGAGGCAAGCAGGATATGGCTTATGCAGAGTTACAGAGACTTAACATGCTCCACTGGCCAGGTGAGATGACAAAATTTCCCATCAAGGGCTCTGAGCACAGGACTAAATCAAGCTCTAGACCTAGGCTGTTGGCCTTACCAAATCTTTATCCTCAGTTCACGTCGCAGTGGAGATACTTGGTCAACTACATATCTTAAACATTTACCATTTGCTTCACCAATAAAAATTATTTCCAACATCTCTTATTCTAATTAAGGCACCCACTGGTGCAGATTGAAGGAGTAGTACCCCATGCACTGGTAGCCTCTAGAGGATAGCATCTTGATTAGGGTCTTTCAAATGTTAACTAACTACCCCTGAAGTGTGGATTCCTGATTAAGGTACTTCAAAAATGTTAACTAAGAACCCCTAAGGTGTATATTAAATTATCTTACAGAAAAACACAGACAATATAACACCCCACTTCTAAAAGGAGGCAGCCCAAAGCTGTTGCCAACTAATATTTGGGACTATCATTTAAATGAAGGTAGGAGTTTTTCCAGCCTCAGCACAAGGATAATTTCAATTCTGAAGTGGAGATGGGATCTTGTGTTTTAGTGAGTTTTCAAAGCAAAATGAATGTGCACTGGTCCTTCCATAAGTGAAAGTGGGCTAAGGGGAAATGATGGTATGTTTGCGTGGGTGGGGTGGGTGGGAAATTAGAGTGGAAGACTTTAAGGAAACAAAACACAAGCAAACAAAACTAACACCTGTTGAATCCCCCTTGGGCCGCACTTAATGTGCAGTGTCTCATTTACAGCCAGGAGGACGTACCTTAAAAGGATTAGTAGTAGCAGCCAACAGAGAAGAGGCTACTAAAAATATGACATGAAGACAGGATATGAAAAGAGACAAGGAACAGATGAATACATTCACAATCTAAGTCAGTATTCACTAAAATGCATTAGGTTGCAGTCTTTTGTTAAAGAATGTTTTTGTAAGTTCAATTGCCCAGGGAGCTAGCATGATGCAGTAGGAAGAAAAAGAGCTTAGATTTTGATCAGTATCTCTACCTCTTTCTAGTTGTGTGAGGTCTCTCCAGTCTTGCTGGAGCTCAACTTCTTTATCTGTAACATGTGCATAGAACTGTTCATAATAAAAGAGAAAATGTACCATCAAAACACAAAAACCCCTAAAAAAAATGTACTTTTAACACTTCTAGCTTTAGGTACTACTGGATTGCTGAAGACAATAGCAGTTGCTTAAGAATCCATTGCTGAACATTTCTGCCAAAACCAACACAGAACAAGAAGAAATAAAAATCATAAAAATCATGCCCTCAGGATGACTTGAAGACAAGTTGCCCAAAATTCAAAACAACTGTATAAAAAAAAAAAAAACACCTAACACCAGCAAGCGATGTCTCATGCTCCTGGCCTGC